GGGCAATGCCTCTCGGTGCGGCAGAGAGACGCTGTGGCCCCAGGTATGCAGCGCCCTTCTGGAAGCCTGGGCCTGCAAATGAAACCCACCGCTTGTGTTTGATGTTCTCTGTACTCAGTGATGAAACCATGATGGATTGTTTCATTGTGGTTGCTAGTGTGCCAGACTTCTTTTTCCAAACACACAATAGAAATATTAATTTACTGCTCTGACGACGAATACTTTTATCCTCCTTATATAGTAACAACTCTGCACCAAAGAGTGAGTTTCATTTGTCATTGATACACTTCACCATCCCAGCTCATATCCCCACGGTTGGAAGGTTATTTACGGATGTCCTGAGCTTCTCTGATTTATTATCATCCTTTTCCAACTAATCCCACCCTCTCTGCCATCCATCCATCCCACTTCAAGGGGACACAGCATCATCCAGGGCACTGCGAGAGGGCTGGGGTAACTCTTTGGGGGGAAGAGCCAGGGCTGGACCCTTGGAGGTGAGAGAATGAGATGCAGGATGGGGACACAACGGGATGGTGAGGGGGCCTGGAGCAGCAGCGCAAAGGGACTATGTCTTCAAAACCAAAGGTGACGAATCCAAAGCGGATAAAAGGAAGTGTGTTGGGTTTGGGGTTTTTTGGGTTTTTTTGCTCCGTGCTTAATTAGGCTGCCACAGGAAAATGCTCAGGCCAAAATTTAGCAGGATTCAAGGAGGGATTGGGCATTTATGGGGATAACAGAAATATCCAGCTATAATAACAGATGCCAACACAAATTCTGGAAGGGATATTAAGCCTCACGCGTCAGGGTGTAAAACTATCCCAAACTCTCAGAAAGTAGGGAGCTTAACACCGGGGCAGATGACCCACCTCTGCTACCGCTGCCACCTCGGCCCTGTGCTGGCCCAGCCACTGCCTGCCCTGTCCCCAGAGCCCCGTTTCCTGCTGCTGGCAGCAACTCTGAAGAGGGCTGTGGGTTTCTCTTGGCAATTCAGCCCTTTGCCTGTAGCTCCTCAGGGCTGTGTGGCTCCTGGGGCTCTGACCTCCCATCTGCTTGCTTTGCCTGCTGATAACAGCCTTATCACTCCAACCCAGAGGCAGCCCCTCTGAGCACCGACCACAGGCATGTCCCTGGGTGATGTGGCATCTTCCCACGGCTTCTTGCTTCCAGCCAAGCCTCTCGTGTCCCTCTTAGATCACTTGTTGCCCAAATGCACCTTCGCTCCTGATTTCCTCCCTCCTGTTCCCTGTTTCTGCTGGGCCCAGTCTCCAGCCTCTGAAAGGGGCTGCTCAGCTCCGGCATCTCATGGATGATGCACGTACACAGGCATGGCCCTGCTTTCATGGACACTGCTCAGATAAACCCTGGGTCATGCCTTGCACAGAGCCTTCCTCACCTGCTCCACATCAGTGTCAATCACCATACTGCCTGCTTTTGGCCAAAAAAACCCCACTGTCACCCCCAGCCCATGCGTGGCCACAAGCCTGGCATGGCCGCTGCCCAGGCTGGGATGAGACTGTCATAATGTGGTACCTGGGAGCTGGCTATGAGCATGAGCAACCTGGTCTAGTGGAAGGTGTCCCTGCTGATGGCAGGGGGGTTGGAACTGGATGATCTTTAAGGTCCCTTCCAACCCAAACCATTCTGTGATTCTATCTCCATCCCCAGCAAGGATGGTGCCATGGCATCCCACACAGGCTGCTACCAGGATGCCTGTGCCGCTACAGTCCCTGTGAGAGGGGATGCTCCTGAAACTTTGGCCGCTGCATAGGATCAGAGACAGCTCAGTGTGACCAGAGGGGAGCCTGGAGCTCTCCTGGTCAGGGGCCAGAGTCTCCTGTGCTCACTGCTTGCGTGCTCACCACCCTGCCGAGGGCAATCCCTCTGGGGTCCCTTGGATCTCCCCTCACTGTGGAGCCTTGCACCCACAGGGGCTTCCAACTGGAGACATTTCTGGAGGGCATGAATCAGCTTTTCACAGCTTGTTAAAAATCTTGATCCTACCTCTTGTTTTCATGCCTTTCAAATCAGGAAATGAGTTTTACAACTTTTCCAGTGGGGCACAGCTGGTGGCCAGGGTCGTAAAGCTGAACTTTATAAATATCTCTTGTTGGGATCAGGGGAAGAGCATTAAAAAGGCAGGGAGAGAGAGAGAGAGAGAGAAAGGGAAGGGAAAGGAGCAAAGGCAATAGAGAAGAAAGGCAACTTCGGCGAAGAAGCCCAGCTCAACGCCAGCCATGGCCATGCGAGTGCAGAAGATGGGGTGTGCTTGGGGCAGGCTCTGCCTGCTGCTCTCCCTCCTCCTCCAGCTGCCGGGCTCCCAGGCCAAATGCTACTTCCAGGCTAAAGGTAAGAGGGGAGGTGAGCTGGGAAGATGCTGATGGGAAGAGGAGGCCTCAGCTTTCCCTGGGGTGGCAGGGCTATGCGTGCCTGCGAAGCACAGAAGGGAGCGTGCTGAGCTCAGGAGCGCGATCATGGGCCAGTGATGAGTGGAAGGAGCAGTCTATAAACCACAGAACAGCTCCCCAGGGCTCTGGCTGAGAAACAGCTCACTGGGCCATGAAGAGCTCCTGGCAGGAGCCTGGCTGGGGCCAAGTGTGCAGGACAAGCAGCAAAGGGAGGAGGGCTGCCCATCTTTCCTCTGCTGCCTCCATCCAGGGCTGCAGAGATGCTCAGACCCCAGGGGATGCTGGATATGGCCTCTCCAGGGAAGCAAGAGATGCTTGCCTCTCCCCAGGCCCCTGTGGCAGTGGGGAGAGCTGCAGGGCACATCCAGGAGAAAATGGATGGGAGCATCAGCCTTGGCAGGTGCCTGGGCATCCCATACCTGCAGGGCAGCCACCAAGTATCTCCTGTACCATGGAGCACGTGGGAGGTCATGATGTCCCCCCGTCCCCTCTTTGAGGGCAGAGGGGTGCCAAGGCAGCTCCCACACACCCACGTGTGCTCATCACCACCATTTCCTTTGCAGCTCCCTGCGAGTACGAGGGGAAGCAGTTCTCCCTCGGGGAGTCGTGGCTGAGCACCAACTGCCTGCTCTGCACCTGCCTGCACCCCATCGGCGTGGGCTGCTGCGAGACGTGAGTGAGGGGACGAGGGGTGCTGGGGGGTGGGCTACAGCCAGCGGTGCTGCCCTGCCACGGCATCTCCGTGCCCACAGCCGGGAGGAGATCGTGTGGGTCTACAAATGCAGAGGAGCAAATGTCAGAGCCCCGGGGGGCTGTGGGGCACCAGGCTCTGGGGGACAAGGGGCAGAGGTGGGCAGGAGCCCACCAGGGTGCTGAGGGTGGTGGGGTGAGTTGGGGAGACAAAAGCAGCGACCAGGGGTGTCTCAGCAGAGCGAGATGCCAGGAGCTGTGGCCCAGCCTGCCCAAGCTGGTCTGGGAGACTCCCTGGCCATCCAGGCTGGCAGCAGGGGAAGACCCCCAGCTCTGCCAGCAGCCCCCCAGCATGGACCAGGGGGAGCTGACAGCACCATGCCCTCTCCCACAGCACCCAGCACCCCATCGACTTCCCCGACTGGTGTGAAGCTCACTACGACTCGCAGACCTGCCAGATCTCGGTGGTGCAGAAGGCCAACCCCAGCCTGCCTTGCGTAAAAAAAAAGGGAGAGAAGCACAAGTGGGGCTCGGCGGCACCCCCCGAGCCGCTCAGCAACAAGGTGCTGGGCGCGGGGCTGAGCAGATAGAGGCTCAGCAGCACCCCACGTCCCCCCTGGCATCATCCTCCCTCCTCCAGAGCGCACCTCCCGCATGCTCCAGACCTGCCCCATCCCGTAGAGACGTCACTGCCGCCACCTTTGAGGGAAACCACTATCCACACACCACGGTTCTGAGTTAACACCTGCACCCCAGCGCTGTCACCGTACGGCTTTGCTTGCACCTTCAGCTTCCTGAACTGACACCTTCAGCTTCCTGAACTGAGCCAGGGCATCCTCCCTGCGCACCATGGGAACGCAGATCCTACAGGATCTCTTCCCAGGTGGGCAGAAAACCTCCACCTATTAAAGAAAGGGGGTACAGGACCAAATTAGCCCGCACCCAGCCTCAAGCTAAGCAGCTCCCTCCTCCCTCCAAGACCTCCATCTCCCTGCTGGGAGTTCATGGGGGAACATCATGGCACCTTCGTGTAGGACCCAAGCGCCCCAGCCAGCCCCTTCTCTGCCATGGAGCACAAGGAGCACAACCCACCTCTGGAACCACTAACGCCCCTGCTCCCGCAGCTCCTGGGGCTGGAGGGGGTCCCTGGCACTGTGGGCCAGCCCTGGGCAACACTGCAGCAGAGCCAGCCTGGGGTGGGCAGCAGAGCTGGGGGAACCAGTAGAAGATGTCCCCAAGGGAGGACCCCATCCCAGCTGCAGGGGAGCGGGGAGGGGGGCCGGGTGCCCTGGTAGGGTTCATGGAGCTGAAGCAATCTGCATGTGCCAGGGTGTAGCCGGCCACCCTGGCAGCCTGCCCCAGCTGGTGCCATGCCTGTGTTGTGCGGAGCCTCATGTAGATGTTTCTGTTCTTGCAAATAAAGATATTAAACAAAGAGGAGGTCTCCAGGCTGTGACTGTTGAGCAGAGTGGGCTCCATCCAGCACCGGGAACGGTGTAGGAATAAGGCTCTTGGGAAGGCTCGGTTTTGCACATCCAGATGTTTATTAGATTTCCATGTAGAAGAAAACTCTTTGAAAGGTTTGGTAGAAATGGGGAGCTGGCTGTTGAGTGGGGAGATCTCCATTCCAGCTCCTGAATGCACAGCAAACATTCCCCCCAGCTCCCCAAGGACCCTGAGACCAGCAGGATCCCGAGTGCCCCGGAGCACAGGCAAAGAAGAGCCCAGGTGCTCAGTGCTCCTCAGTTTTGGATGATCACCATCGTGCTGCCACAACATGTGGCCGTGAGTGGGACACCAGCACGTGCCAGCAGTGCAGGACTGGCCTGCAGGACCGGCCTTCTCTGGCTGAGGGTAAGGGGGACGCTGGTCTGTGCGCATGAGACACCCCTCAGAAGAGGCAGGATGCAGGAGAGCAGGCTCCCACCAGGCCCAGGTGGCCACCATGCCTCACCTGGACACCAGACCCCTGCTGTGGGGTCTCTCTGTAGGGGAATGGTCTTCACCCAAGGCTGGTATGGGGCTTCACTGGAAGCACAACCTTTCCCTCTTGGAAGCCCCTCAGGGTAAAGGCATGTCAGGCCGTTCCCTGGGAGGCAGATTTTTTTGGTGAGTGCTGGGACTTGCACCGTCACCCGGGCAGGAAGGGTCCAGCTCCCAGCCGAGGGCTGGAGCACAACACAGCGCAGCAAGTGCAGCCCTTCTGTGCCTGCAGGTGGGACAGACCTGCCCGGTGCCCACCTGGGTGTCACAGATGAACCCAAGGGGACGTTGGGATGCGCCCCTGCAGCGTGCTGGTGACAGTCCTGCCTGCCGTCCCCGCACGCTTGCAGCACCGCAGGCCCCTACCAGCTCTCCCCGCTTCAGATGGCGATGGAGTTCGTGCTGGAGAACTGAGACACGTAGGAAGCCAGGATGGGGTTGGTGGGAAGGACTTTGATGGGCAAGTCCCAGCTGAAAGTGTCCACTTCCATCTGCTCCACTCCAGTCCAGGTGACGGCCTCCGACTGGCTCCCACGAACCAAGCAAGTCTCTGCCGACTCTCCAGAGGTGACAAACTCAAAGTGCAGCCTCCACTTCAGGGACACTGTGGGCAAGAGGGGGGTCAGCAGTCAACACCACAAGGGATGGGGACAGCAGCTGTCTCAGCGCTGGCCGTCCTGGCAAGGGGACAGGCAACAAGCCCACTCTTGCAGGCCAACTCCCTCCCCCACAGGACACAGTCCTGCTGAGCAAGGGCGGGGCTGGGGACATCACAGTCCTGCTGAGATAAGCTGGGGTGGGTCCCTTCCCTGGTGGCCACTAACCGATGTTGGTGGTGAATCCTGGGGTAGAGCTGAGCGGGATGGGCAGGCTGAAGCTGCTCTGGGCTGTGTGCAGGCAGGCCTCCTGATGACGGGCGTGGGTGCTGAAGGAGACAGGCTGCCCACGCCGGCGCTGGAACTCCTCCTGGATGCTCTCCTCCGTCTGCAGGCTCACAGAGAACTGCAGAGCAATCAGCAGGGTGCTCGCTCTCACAACCCCACACAGCCCTGGCGCCTCCATTTACCAAACAAGCTCAGAACTGGAGCCCTTCCCCACCTCACAACTCATGGGGACCTCAGCGGGGTCCCACTAGGAACTCTCAGTAGAAATCCCACAGCAGCCCAGTGCCACCCCAGTCCCTTCTCCCATTCCCCCTTCCAAAACCCCTGCCCCTCCTCAGAGCGACCCCAAAGCCAGCACCAACCTGCAGACATGGGATGTCTCCTTCCGAGAAGTTAAAGGTCCCAATGACATCTTCTCCGATCTTATACACAGTCTTAAAGATGCAGAATGTCCCCACCTTCCCACGAGTGTTGCTGATGTTATACAGGTCTGCAGAGCAAGGGGAAAGGGTTGCAGCAGGATGAGGGGGGGAAAGGGTTGCAGCAGGATGAGGCTCAGCCCCATACAGTGCCCTGGGTTAAGGGACATGGCTCCTCGCCTGCTCCTTGGGTGTGAAGGACAGGCCCTGGAGGCAGCATTCCCTCTGGGAAACGCCTGCACCGAGAAAGAGCAAACCACAGGTTGGCTGCGATATGCTGGGGAGAGGGTCTCTCTGGCTGAATCCAGAAGAGCTTGAGATGGGCAGGGAGGAGCCCATGGGAAACTCTGACCCAAGGGAGCCCTGATGGAGCTGCTGCACAGCCCCAGTCAGAGCTCTGCTTTGCCAGTGATCCCCGAGCTGTGCCTCACGCCCAGGTTAGGACAGCAGGTCCCAGCAGGGAATAGGACCTACGCAGGCTGCGCCGGGAAGTGGCCACCATGAGCAGCTCTGTCGCCAGGTCTGCCAGGCGAGAGTCTTTCTTCAAGCCCTCCTCTTCCTCCAGGAAGGGGTTTGAGGGTGCAACGGCCTCATCCTGTGGGAACTGGTAATCCTTGAGCCCTGGGGAGAAGGGGAGAGTGTCAGCGGGGCAGGGAGCAGCCAGGCCCGTGCCCGCAGGGAGGGCAGCGCGTGGCCTTACCGTGCAGCACGAGGACCCGGAAGGGAACGCGCAGCAGCTTGATGGGGGAGTTGACACGCTGGCAGCCGATGGTCAGCTTGTACACGTACTTCACCGACTGTCCCCGGAAAGAGGGGGGCCCGTCTATCGGCAGCGTCTCACAGTACGAATCTGCAAGGAGCGCAGGAAAAATCGCTTTCCAAGGACAAGAGGAAGCTCCTGGAGCTGCTGCTTGCATGTTCCCTGCCCCAAGGGTTAGGAACGGTAGTGGGGCTGACCTAGGGACAGTGCCTGGTGCTTTCTGCCCTCTCCTCTTTCCCACAGCAGGCCAAGCACATCCCTGCCTTCCCCGCACCAGCGCGCGGCTCCTCACATCGCACACGCCGTCATCCAAGATGTTGCTTCCAGCACATACAACCACACACACAAACTCTGCCTCAAAAGAATGTGGAAGATGTAAAACCCAGGAACACAAAACACATGAGAGCTAAACTTACGCATCACGAGTTCAGCCTGAACTGGCCTCTGCACGCTCCCTTCGCGCGCCGCCTCCACCACCACGCGGTCACACGCTGCGGTTTCCTCGGGGCCCTGCCCCACCCGGCAGAGAGTCAACACCTCCTGCCTCTCTTGATACTGGCTTTACACAAACCCCAAACTCAGCAACAAAAATTAGCTTCTTCCTGTGTTTTTCTCTGAAGCACCAGGTCTAAACGGCCAAGAAACGATTAAAGAGACCTTCGCAACAACCTGTGGCCTATCCCCCCCTTGACAGGCTGATGACTGAGACCACAAAGCCTCTGACTCCGAGACCTCTGTGATGCCAAGGCCTGGCTTTACACCACGTTCAGCCCTCCTCAAAGCCCCTTGGCCACCAGACAAACCCCAACTCTTCTCAGCCCAGCGTGAGCACTTCTGCAGCTCCCCCAAACCGCGTGCTGTCTAACAAGAAAGGCGCAAACAGTCAACTGTGGAAAGTCTCCACCTCCCTGGCTTGCCCACCGTGACGCAGATACACCCTGCCAGAGGAAGGGCAGCATCCTGCTGTGAAACCACAGATCCTTCCCCAAGTCTGGCACATCCTAAACATTTGAGGCTTAGATCAAAAGCTAGGGTTACATTTTAAATATAAACTTATTGATTTAAAATAACAGAACTGGAAGGAAGAAAATAAGCCCCTGCTAGTCTGTAGCACCCACAGGCTGTCACAGCTTAAAACACAAGGTTGTCCCACTGGACCAAGGTGCAGATACAGCTGAGAACTCTCCTGACAGGGAGGAAAATCAGGTATTTCCAAGGAAGGAAGCAGACTACTTTAACCCCCTACACCAGGCTTAACAAGAGGGCTCACAAAGACCTTCATGCCCAGTGAGGATCGACTGAGCAGTGACCACCGCTGTCCAGGAGGATGGGTGGTTTTGCTGCCTGGCACAGGAATGCTGAGATTCGGGAAGTCCCAGCTTCCACGCATATCCCAGAAGGAAGCACATTCCTGGTGCTACAGATGCTTTCCTCACCCACCCGCTGTACCCTCTGGCTGTGCTCCCGGCCCCGTGTCCAGGCTGCTTCCACTTCCTCCCCTCTCTGTGATCTACCAAATATTTAAAGGTATTACAAAACCGGAGAGGAGGCAGAAACAGCCACAGAAATGACTTGAGGGCTTCAGAAAATGTTTGATGGTGACAAATTTAAAGAGCTCAGTCTGGGCAGCGTGTCAAAAGGATGGGAGGTGAGTCAACTTTGACATATAGGCACCATAACAAAGGGAAGATCTGGAGGAATAAGCTGGTCAGCAACTGAAACAAGGCCTTTTATCAGGAGACAGCCTGACAGAACCTCAGCTCCACGTGCCAGCTCTGGCTATGGTTTAATAACACAATACTTTGCTGAAGCAGAATTCAGATTTCTTGGGGCTTTTTTTTTTTTGCCTTTCCAAACTGTGCAGCAAAACTCAAAAACTTCTGAAAAACAGGAAATTAAGAATTAAGATACACACCCACACAGCCTTAACTCTGCCTCCACGGAGCTGGCAGGAGCCCCCAGGAATGATCCGCAAGCGTGGCAGCTGCAGCCTCGCGCGAGAGGAGCAGCATGGCACCCCGAGGGGAGCGGGGTGGGCAGAGCTGGGGCTGTGACACAGGGCTTCCAGTGACACACACGTGGCACGTGCAATGGATGTGTGCACCACACAGCCACGGGGAAAGGCTCTAACACAGGGACAACAAACCTCAAAGCCTGGAGCAGTTTGTGTCCTTCCTATGGAGGTGCCTCCAAACACAGGGCAAGTGCAGCTGCTTGTGACAGGGTCATCCAGTGGCACAGCAGACACACAGACACACAGAACATCACTGGGAAGGACAGACTCTGGCTG